TACGCTCAGCATCATGGAGGGGGGTAGTGCAGAGTTGTCCTCCCCCCGTCCCCCCCCCAGGCAGCTTCAGGAAGGGAAAATAATTTACTGCGTCCCTGGGAAGTATCCAGCTTACCTACCAGCTTGCACCTTGCCAACTAATTTGGCCAGCAGGGGGATATGGACAGGGGACACAGCTAAAGTTCTGCCTACTTCCTGCCTTATCTTTCCCCTCCCAACATGCACCTAGTGGAGAGTATTTGAAGAACAAGGGCTGCACTCTGCACTAGACCTGGGCCCAAAATCCAGGTTGGCTTGTCCTGCCTGCCTCCCCTACGTTCACCAGCTTGGCAAAGAGCAGAATCTAGTCCGGATATTAGCATCATATTTTTTGCTTGTTTGCTTTAATAAAGACTTCTTCATTTGAAGAGAGTGAATGAAAAAAAGTTCCACTAATTGCAAACCTTTCCTGAATTGCGATTTGTATATAGTGACAAACCTTTCCTGAATTGCAATAGATTCCTGAATTGCAATTATTCACAGGAGACAGTAATGAACTAGAGTGTCTCCTGCAAAGATTCACAATTCCACTCTACTCTGAAGGCAAGTTCATTAGATTAATCCAGGGTTATTGGCTTGTTATTACATTTATTCTGTAAGCCATTTATAGCATGCTATCGAAAATAAAGCTGTAGATACTCTGGGCTACATTTTAAAAACAACTGAACTCAGTTTTCACATCTAAGAGCCATGATTTGCGTTTTCAAGTAGGGTGACCAGACAGCAAGTGTGAAAAATCGGGACGGGGGTGGGGGGTAATAGGAACCTATATAAGAAAAAGACCCAAAAATCGGGACTGTCCCTATGAAATCGGGACATCTGGTCACCCTAGTTTTCAAGTAGGTGCATAAATCTATCAGGTAGTACTTTGTACACAAAATATTTGTTGGTGATGGGACATTTGTATGTTCAATATAGACCTGGTCTTTTCCCCCCAATAAAATCAATGGGACTTTTTCTCACAAGAACAGCATCAGGCCCTGAGTTTCTGCATGCAAAGCAGTGCTTTACAAAAATGAGCAAGAAGGAGGTATAGAAAACATGCAATAGTTGAAATACACCAAATTATGAAGGGGATCTCACAAATTTTGGTGGATATTGAGGTACTAGGTTACAAACTCACAGGACAATGAGATGTTGTGACATTTCAAGATGATGGGAAATTGCATGTGGAAAGCAGAAGCAACAAGGAAAGAGACTGGTTTGAAAGGAGTTCATGATCCCAGGTGGGTCTGCAGCCAGCTGAGCAAATTTATGGGGCTGTATGAAGCTGTGTAAGGGTGTGTGCCCAACATCATGCCATACTCCTATACTTCTCAGCATTAGACTTGACCACAAATAAGAATAGTGTTTGATGTGAGAGGAGTGAGAATTGCACAGACCAAAAAGCTGCTGACTCTTCAAAGCTCAGGGGTGTTGGGGTTTTGGTTCTGGTCCATCTCTAGTTTGATGTATGTAACAAATAATAAAGGTAACATCTCTGAGCCACGTCCACAAAATATCTATGAAACACCTTGTCCAATTTTCTGCATTTAAAAATATTTAATTAATTTCACAACAAAAAAGTGACAGTACTAGCAATGTTTTACGGGAATAAGACCCAGTGATTTTCTCCTGAACTAGAATACCTTGCCAGCAGCAAGTCAAGCGCTGCAAAATCTAACACAGTAAACAAGGTTCCATGGAAGCATACGTAGAAGAAATTAGAATCAGCATTCTGAACCACCCCATCAAATCAAAGCAGTCAGCACAGCTTCCCTATGCTCATCACAGGCCTCTCAAGTGCACCTCCACCTAGAGTCACATCCCCTCTCTCATTTGATAGAGGACGTTTGATGCCAGAATGTTACAACAAACACATTCTGCAGCCCACCCTTTTTCATGGCTCTCAGCCATCCTCAGAATTCTTTCTGCTTGTCACTCAGTGTCCCACAAAGGTTTTCTTCCTGCCTGTGATCACATCTTGGAGGCACCTGCTCCATGCAAATGGTGAGGTGTAAGGGAGAATGCTGAGGACAGCAGCGCTCCCCCAAGGCTTAAGAAATACAAAGCAAATGTACCTCTGCTTCTACTCTTCCAGGGTAGAAAGAGCTGTATTTTCCTGTACTCTGAGTCAGTGGAACTGAACCACTGAGCGTGTGCGATTTTTAACTGAACACATACAAAATCTGGCAAATGCAAACTGATTTGACAATTTTTCAATATCTGTTCCTAGGTGGGGTCTTTATTTAACTATGGTAGGAAGCAGCCTATTTTCTTAACAAAGTAGAAATGAACCACAAACTATCAACAAGAAAGTATAAAAACTCCCTCCCCCTGCCCCACATTTAGTTATTTAGCGGACTCTGCTTATTGTCAATCATTTGGTTTCTGTATAATCTTGTACAAGGGGGCACATTTACTTTTCTCATTGTTTTGGACATGCTTTTGTTCCATTTTTCATTTACAGTCAGTTATATTTATTCATCCCGTATTTATAATAGTAATAGTACCGCTAATGAACTAATTATTATTAATACTCAGCATCTATACTGCACAGCACTTTGAGAACACCAGGCCATATTCAATGCTGTTATAATTGGGCAAAGTTTCAATCACTTATGTCAGTGGTAAATTTAAGCCCATGTACTAATTTATATATGTAAAACAGCTGTGTACATTTTTTCAGATTTTCTTTTTAAAATGTGCATATGGAATTCAGCACATGCATGGACAATTTTTAGTATCTCAGTGCTGTGGGAGCCCAATTAAAGCATGCAATATTCGGTTTTAACAGGAGAGGCTGAAATATGTAAGGCAGGAAGATCGTTTGCCCAGGAAATGTATCTGGTCTCTGGAATATTTCAGTGCATCCTGCTAAACTAGTTAGATATCAAGTATTTACAAGAGTGTCTGTTGCTTCCAGACTGATGGTTCTTGACTAGGTTACGCCTGAATGTAGTAAGCAGAGCCACTTGTCACACACTGAAAAAATGCTGCCTCTTTAATTACTCATTCAGCAGAGATGGCATGGGAGTGGTGAGAGACCTTGGAAACTTAAAATTCCATAAATATATTTCAATTCTCTCCACACCCACCGAAGGATTGAAAGGGCAAACATAGGTGAGGGCTCTGTCTCCCCCACAGTATGACAGACAGACTGGACCACTACCACTGAGTCAAATATAACTCCCAATTAAGGCTAAATTCTGTCTTCAGGAAACGGGGACGTTTACATAAGAACTGCCACACTGGATCAGACCAGTGCCGCATCCAGTCCAGTATCCCACCCTCAACCATGACCAGTGCCAGTTGCTTGTGAAAAGGATGCCATAAGGACATTATGGAATTACTTGCCCCCACAGAAACTCCATTCATTAGTTGGTTTATACCCAAAAGCATGAGGGTTCACATTCTTTATACATTAGATAGGATGAAAAAAAAGGTAACTATGGATGTTCTCATTAGACATTTATGATACAGTGGGATTTTTCAAAGCATTTAGCATTGGCCTTACTCTGTCCCCCTTGAAGCAAATTACTGTGGACTTCAAGGGGAGCGGAGTTAGGTCAATGTTAATCGCATCTGAAAAATCACACCCCTAATTTTTATTTGAAATCTGCTAGATCTCAATGATATTCTGTGGCAGGGACCTCCACAGGCTTGTCATGTGCTACGTTAGTAAAGTATTTCCTTTTATTAGTTTTCCATTTGTTGCTATTCTATTTCATAATATTATGAGAAAGGGTATACACAAGTGCCTGAAAATCCTCTGCTCACCATTCATTACATCATATACTTCTATTCTGACCCATTTTATTTAGCTCTTCTCTAAATCAAGCAGTCCTAATCTTTTCAGTCTCTGCTCATATGAAAGCCTTTCCATGCTTCTAATCATTTTCATCAGCCATCTCTCATCCACTTCTATTTCTGTGGTATATTTTTATGAAAAGGTGATCAGAACCGAACACAGTATTCAAGGTAAGGGAACATCATCAGTTTATGTAACAACATTATAATATTTTCTATCCCATTCTTTACACATCAAAATTCTGTGGGTTGGTTTTTTTTTTTGACTGATGGTGCACATTGAGCAGATTTTTTTCTTTGAACTGTAAACAGTGATGTCCCCATCTTTTCTCTAAGTGGTTATAGTTAAAATTTACAACACAACATTGTGTATGAGCAATTTGAGTTTTCTGTTCCAATGTATATTAGCCTGCATTACTTAACAGTGATTTTCATCCGCTACTGTTCAACCCAACTGCCTGGCGTTATTAGCTCCCTCTGGAGTACAGTGGACTAACCTGACTAATTTTGTGTCATCTGTAAATTTGAACCATACTGGTCACTCCCTTTTCCAGATTATTAATAAATACATTAAACAACAGCTGTCTTAAGTGCAGGACCTCAGACCACCCCACTGTTAACCTTTTGCTATGATGAAAATCGACCATTTATTCCTATTCTGTTTTTTGTTTCTGAGCCAAATTCTCACTGTAACACTACTTTACATTTCTTACCCCAAACCTCTTTTCTTACCCTCCACTTGTGAAGGGTTTTGTCTAAAGGATTTTGCAAGTACAAGTATTTGCATGTTATATTACAGGTTTTGTAATTGCAGTATATTTCCAAGTCTCACATAGATTTGCCAAGGTGCCACTGACCTGGGCCAAAGTTCGCTCTCCATTACTCCTGTGAACCAGAAAGCAGAAGCTGGCCCACTGACTTCAATGAATGCTGTATGCTTGTATCTCAGAGCAGAATATTCTCAGATAGAATGGCAATACACACGGTATAAAGGCTATATAAAAGCTAGATATTGTTATTTTCAATTATTAAAATCTAGACAGATATTAGATAAGATTTTGCCCAGTTACTATTTGGATTTGAAAGTGATACCATTATATAGCTGTCCTTAAAAAGGAATTTGCAGGTTATAAACAAATAATCTTTTAATAAGATTAAAACAATTATAATACCTTTCATTTTCCTGTAGCAGCTCGCCTCCCTTCTTCCAGGAGCAAATTGCCTTAGGGGAAGCTTTTGGCTTGCACTCAAAATTTACTGTGCTGCCTATCTGAACCTGAATCAGTTTCTTCATTGGGTTCTTGGAGAAATCTGGAGCAGAAGCTAAAACAGAGGGAATGTTAACAGTGAAATAAAACTGATTGACATTATATTAATGATGCTAGTACTGAGCATTTATATGACACTTCTCAGCTTCTAAGTGTATTTACAAACATTAATTAAGTACAGTAGTTAATTCAAACAGTACTCCTGTAAGGGAAATATTATTTCTCCTTTTTACAACTTGAGGTACTGGGACACAAAAGTTAAGGCCTTGATTCTGCAAAGCACTTAAGCACATGCTGAGGTTTAAGCATGGGTTTAAGGTCCCACTGACTTGACTGGGATTTAAACATATGGTTAAGTCCTACTGAAGTTGGTCGTGTTTAAGCACATGCATAACTTTAAGTATATGCTCAAGAGCTTTGATGAATCTGGCCTGAAGGGATTTTCCCACGATCACTTGGACTCAGCACCAGGACCTGTATTAGAACTCAGAGAATTTCCTGACTCCTCGTCTTGTGTCAGATCACTGGTCTGGGCCTCAGGATTATGAAACCGCTTGGACTGTAGAAGTATATTCCATATTAACAGTTCAACAAATGGGCATGACAGAGAAGAATGCCAATCACTGAACTTTGAATGGAAATCCAATTTTTAGGAAGACGAGGCTGGGTTAATGGTTCAGCGATTGACTCTGAACCTTATCATTAGAAGGGAACTAGTTTGTTTTACATAGGCCTCATTCCAATTAATTTTCCAAATCACTCTGCCTCGCCTTAAAAGTAAAAAGCATGAAAGCATTTGAATTCACGTGACACGCTGCAAGTTCAATGTTTCATTCTAGTAAGTGATTGTCATTTGTTTTTAAACTGAGCACAGATCACCTGACCATAAAACGACAGACCCTTATCCCGACGATCAAGGAAAGTAGCACACACAACCAACTAATTGCTTTGAAATGACATTTCTCTCTTGGGAATAGTGGAGTCAGGATGCAGAAGGTCAGTGCTACTGACTACTGTGCTGAGCCAATGTGGCTTCCAGATCGTGTGATTAGTTTTAATCTTTGGGCTTGCATCCAAGCCTTTGTCTCTGCTCTCCCCCTAATTAATAATGTATCTCTGTGTCCTCGGGTTAAAGCAGTGAATGACTGGGCTGTAAATATGGTGGCTATTTCCAGCAAATCCTTTAGATCCAGGTGGGTAAACTCCTCAGAACTGTGGATAAGAAGTTATCTGCTGTAATAAAAATGTTTATTTTGTTGAAAGCATCTGAGTGGGTTAAAACTTTGAGATCATGTGCATGTTACTAGCTGCAGCGGTAATGGCAAAAAAGTTATCTCCCCCCACCCCCAGTAGAAAGGAAAATTAATCTTACCTACAACCCTGAGCTCTGCACTGGAATATATCATTCCATGTTTGTTTTCAGCTATGCACTGGTATATGCCAGAATCTGTCAGATTTAGATTTGTTATTATAAGTGTACCACCTTCAGTTTGGATCCTTCCCTGGATATTAAGAAAAACACCTTTAATGTACACTAAGTTTTACAGGAAATAAATAATAGGGGTGCAATTCATCGATGTGCGGAGAGTTTGCGTAAGTCCCATTACGAGGCCCTAAGCGGGATTTATGTAGGGGATATGCTCTCTGCACAGGGGTGAACTCCATACTTTGGGAATGATGCAATGATGGCTTGAGTGAGACAAATAGAGCTTTATGGTGCCATCTAAGGAGAAAAAGGCCTGAATCAGACACCAAATCCTCCCCACACTAAGGAAATCCAGGTATGGATCTTAACTTTGTCACTTGTGATTCTGACTAGCAAAGTGCCCTACTGCCAACGGCAAGTACTCAGAAATTATGAGTTAGGCCCCCCCCCAAATCATGTTTTGTTTTTTTGTTGTTTTTTACAAAAATAAATAATTTTAGGCTCTTTTTTATTAGTCTGAGTCCTAAAGGCCTGAAATTTTTCTCTATAATCATGAAGATTAGAAACTTACTAAAAAGCTGAGATTCTCACCCAATCACTTGCCTCCAAGAGCTGCGCTTTAAGAAACGGACCAAATATCATGGGACTTATGATAAAATCGTGTGAGTTGGCATCACTGAAAGTCTGTAATCACTTGCTCTAACTTCATCAATTTACAATAATTTGGAGTCCATGAAGTACCCCTCCACCTCCAGAGAGTGGCTACCCCTGCCCCACTCACCCCTCTGTTCGCGGAGCATGACTCCCCCACCCTGCCCCAGTCTCTTCCCGCACCCCGGGAGCGCGCCTCTCCCTCTCGCGCCCGGCTTCAGTCACCCTCCCCGCCCCCAGAGTGCGGCTCTCCCTCCCCGTCTTGCCCCAGTTACTCACCCCTGGAGCCTACCTCTCTCTTCAATGTCCTGCCCCAGTCACCCCTCCACCCCTAGAGCCCTGCTCAGCTGGCGGGGGAGGGTGGTGGAGAGAGGTGGAACAAGGGGTGGGACCTTGGGGAAAGGCAGAGCAGGGGGTGGGGGAGGTTCCGGCACTCAGTGTCCAGTTTTCATAAATTAGAAAGTTGGGCACCCTATTGGACTGGTTAGTTCCATGGACCTCAATGAACTCTTAGCAGTTAATATGTAGGGATCTTAATTTCATATGACTTTACTTAAAAAAAGTCAAACAAAGAAAAAAAAATCCACTTTACCTCTAATGCTAGAGTGTTTCCATTCTTGGTCCATCTGTAGGATGGTTTGGGCTTCCCACTTGCCCTACATTCCCAGTATAAACTATCTTCGACTGCAGCTTCAATATCTTTTATAATCTGGACCCAGTGAGGTTTTGCTACATAAGAAATACAAAACAAGAAAGCCCAAACAAATTGCAAATTACTGTTCAGTGTGAGAACAAAAGGGTTAATTTAGAAAGAGGATATTATGCTGCTAGGTGGATCAGCTGGTGCCCAAAGATTCTCCATGGTTCTGACCTGGGTTGCTTACTGAAAGAAATATGACTCGATGTCCTTTTAAAATAAATTTGATTAAAGCTGATAAATACATCACTAAGGCTAAATATATCACCAAGTACTAAAATATTACTACACTAATTAAGTGTTAAACAATACAGTAAGAAATTGAGGTCAAAATAAGTGTAAATAGACAAATCAGCACCAATATTGGAATTCAATAATCAGTTTAGTTAAATCATGAAATTAATACATACTTAAACCAGAACTTCTAAAGAGGTGGCTGTCCGTTTATTTCTAAACTCCAAGTGAAGGATTTTTCCTATGGCAGTGTAATCAAAACATAGCTGGGTGAATATTTTAATACAGAAACCAAATTATTGTTTACATGTAAATCACAACATCAAAAGCCAATTGAAACTTTCTTCTCAGATATCTCTGTTATCAGTGTTTTCCAAACTGGGGCCGTCGCTTGTGCAGGGAAAGCCCCTGGCGGTCCGGGCCGGTTTGTTTACCTGCTGCGTCCACAGGTCTGGCCGCTCGTGGCTCCCACTGGCTACGGTTTGCTGCTCCAGGCCAATGGGAGCTGCGGGAAGCTGCGGCCAGTACGTTCCTCGGCCCGCGCCGCTTCCAGCAGCTCCCATTGGCCTGGAGCAGCGAACTGCGGCCAGTGGGAGCCGCAATCAGCCGGACCTGCAGACGCGGCAGGTAAACAAACCAGCCCGGCCCACCAGGGGCTTTCCCTGAACAAGTGGGGTCCCAAGTTTGGGAAACACCGTTATTATGTATGACGAACAATCCATTTACTCCTCACTAACACAAATGCACACTTTAATCAAACTTTCTAATAAGCAAAAGTTTCACAGCTCTCACTTAGCATTATATTGCTGATAATTTAATTTCTCTGGATGCTTTTACAGAACTAGGAACACATATATGCAATGATTTTCAGGCAAAATTTTAGGGCTACTTAAACGTAGAAGATTATTCTTTCACACCTCCCCATGTGGTCTTTATGGGTGGTTACACACACATTCATTAACGTAACCACACAGTCACACCCTAAAATAATAAAAAGCTGGGAGGTCCCTCAATTAATGAAAACAAAAGACAAAAACAGAAAATGGATAAACAAGATACGTAAGATACAAAGGGCTCTGAACTCTCTAGTTCTCATAGTCGTTCCACTCGCGTGGAGTGGGAGCTGTAACTGCAGTCAAGCACCAGATGATGACACTGCTGTCACAATGCTATATGCTTGCAAGCTTCTTTAGATACAGGGAGACAAGTCATGGGTACGTAGCCTGTTGACATCATGACTTTCTTCCTCAGAGTTGATCAGTCTCAGAGTACGGAAATGTTTAGCTTCTTGAGCTGGCTTGCTGACCCAAAATGCAAGGTCTTCCACTTTTACCTTCATCTTTATGGTTGATAATTCTAGCTTGCTTCACCTTACAGCACCTCATTTGGGGCTCTTAGGCAGGCATTGTGACCTGGATACAGACAGCATGGTCCAACTATACTGTCGTGAACAAGCTTTGGACTGAACATCAGTTTGGAAAATCTTGCTTAGACCAAGTAGTCTTCTTAAAATCCATTTTACAACGATATGCAATGCGAACCTCAAAAATATCAAGAACTGGAAAAACACAAGGCATAAGAACGGCCATACTGGGTCAGAATAGAGGTCCATCTAGCCCAGTATCCTGTCTTCCCACAGTGGGCAGTGCCAGGTGCCCCAGAGCGAAGGAATAGAACAGGTAATCATTAAATGATTCATCCTCTCTTGCCCATTTCCAGCTTCTGGCAATCAGAGGCTAGGGACACCATCCCTGTCCATCCTGGCTAATAGCCATTGATGGACCCATCCTCCATGAACTTATCTAGTTCTTTTTTGAACCCTGTTATAATCTTTGCCTTCACAACATCATCTGGCAAGGAGTTCCACAGGTTGACCATGCGTCATGTGAAGAAGTACTTCCTTCTGTTTGTTTTAAATCTGCTGCCTATTCATTTTAAATCTGCTGACTATTAAAGGCAAGTTGTGAGGTAATTACCCTACCCTAACCCCCTGGGGTAAATGGCCATGGGTGACATATGGCACACCACCCAGCACGTGCCTTAAGAAGGACCATAAAAATAACCAATTATCTAACAAAAGAAAGGAACCATTCATATTGTGTCCTCTTCAGCATTTCTTGAAATAAATTTAGATATCATATGACAGCTGTTTCCCCTTTCCTTTGCAAACAAGGGAAATGGGGAATTGGTAGTTACAAGCTAACTGGGTAAAAGGTAATAATAACCTGGCCCTTTAGTAGCTCTCCACTGAAAAGCAGAAAGTTTCTTGACAAGTTTTTAATATGAATTCCATTTGAAACAGAAATAAGTAAAGTTTGTACTAAGTCTGTATTCTCATATATGCTATTTCTCTCACAACAGACAAACCCTGACCTTTGCATTTGCAGAAACCAGATGCAAGGTTGTGTAACACTTTGCTAAAATAAGACTGTCAGGGCTCAAAACCATAACTTTCTTGATTTTATGGATTTTCTGCAATTGCTATTTTTTTGTGAAAAAAGAAGGCTGTCTGGAATTTGGTTCTCCTTCTTATAACATTCTGCCAGAACTGAGTTTACAAAATTGATACCTTATTTACTTGTCGAGTCTAGCTTTGATTGACTGCTAACAGGAAGGGGATAAGTAATTTACCATTGGAAGATGGGTATCAGTGCTAAATCAAAACTACTTTCATTTTTAATTTCTTAATGTACTCCCTTTTATTGGGTGAAAGCTGCATTTCAAAAAGTAAAGTACCTCACACCTTCTTCTGCGCATTTTACATAGAAAATATAAACAGAGGCACTATTTACTTGTTGACACAGACCCCTAGAGAACCCAGCATTACTGCATTCCGCAGTATAAAATAATGATGGGTGAATATGAAAAGGTTCAGATAAACATCCACACCAGAAATGCTATGAAAAGAACATAGCTCAAGACAGACGCATCTTTCCACATTCAGACAATACCAGGTTGTGGGGAAACGAAGAATAAAAGTTACTGAAAATGTTTTGAATGTTGAAAAAAGCTTTGGGGTAAAGTTTTTGAAAATGCTGAATGACCTAGAAGGCTAAGGCCCATTTTCAAAAATGATTTGGGAGCCCAACTGAGCACCTCACAAACATTAAACATTTATCCTCACAATGACTTGGCAAGGTAGGGAAATAGCCACATTTTATAGATGAGGTTCTGAGTACACCTGGCTGGAAAATGGAAATCCATTCCTATGAAATATTTCAAGCTTTTGAAAAAAATCATCTTAAACTGATCTGAAACATCAACAGTTGTAAAACTTTTCACAGGAAGGGTTTTCTAAAATAATTCCCTTTTGGGAGAAACAAAACGGGATGCTTTGGTCTCCTGGCTGCCTTTTGCCTCTCTGTCCCCATTGCTGGGGGAAGGCCGAGAGGTCAGAGAGTTAGGATGCTCAGCCTCCGCAGCCTTCTGGGAAAGATTTTGGCAGTTTCATTTGTAGAAAAATAAAAGTGACACAAGCCTCCCAGGTGGGAAGCCATCACTTAGATTTTCCCAATAGAAACATCAAAATTTTAAGTCAAAACTGAAATGTTCTCATAAAAAAATTTCAGTTTTTCAAAAAGGGCACGTTGGGTTGGAACAATCATTCTAATAAAAAATTGCAACTCACTCTAGTACTGAGGCAGAAAGGGCCTAATGAATTCCTGTTGAGATGGTGACTACAGTGAAATTACAACAGGGATGAATTCAGCTCTGAGAAATTAATGACTTGCTTTTGGTCACATGGGTAGTCTACAGGGCAGCTGAGAACTGAAACCAGATCTCCTGATTCTCAGGCCAGTGCCTTAGCCACAGGACCATTAGTCTACCATTTGGATGAAGATTTGGGTTGGTTTTCTTTTTATACAAACCAATTTACCCATTTCTGTACTGTAATATACCTCCAGGTCTATATTCCTCAAAAGATGATGTTGTCACAGTGTATTACATTGGACTCATTACAATAATTAAAATAATACAGTATAATGTTATACTAATAGGTACTAATATCATACCGGTTATAGGTCACTGATGTATAAGCACATGGGATGAAACACTCATGTAAAGAGTTAAAATTAAACATGCAGTATACATCTGGCAGTCATTAAGGGGATTATGTAGTTTAAACCACTCTCTTCTGTCCCATCCTCTGTGAAATCTTTCTGAGGTTCCTTTGTTTTGCAGACTAGCTGTGCAAACAAGAGTTAATGACCAGACCAATGCTAGGTGAGCAACCTTGAAGTAAGGGGTTTCCCAGATGAAAAGCCCAAGGGCTGAGACAGGAACAGTGAATGGGCCTTTTAAGTGATAAGATTCCAGGGGAGTCCAAGGGAGGACTGCTACTGGGAACAGAGAAACTGCAGATCTTGTTTCTGCCCTATCTCAGCAGATACTGTTCTATTGACAAACCTCTTGTACCCTAAGAAATGCACTTTCAACTGTCCTCTTTATCGAGGTATCCCTCAATTATAACACAGGTTCATCTCTGCGTCACACAAACTTATTATCTTACTATCATCAAATTTATTTACATCACAAAAGCTAAATTATTAAACTGAAGTTACCAAAAGAGCCACCATTTATGCTAAAACTTCTTGCACTATCATTTTGGAATGTTTGTCCCATGTGTGTCAAGGGGGATGAAAGACTGAGCATAGATGTCTGCATGGTTCTTGCACTTTGCATACCTAAATATTTATGTAAAACAGGCAACAGTACTTGCATTATTGATGGATCCATAGATGTGCAATATTTCACATCTGCTATATACCCTCATTTGAAAGCATTCCTATAAAGTAGG